GTTAAATCTTGTTTCAACGATGAGTGGTGAAAGTGTTGATAAATTAAATTCAGTCTGTGTTCATGGTCCGATTTTAAAATAAGGATGGAGAATAGGCAATTATACAGTTACACCTGTCAGTATAGTTATCAACATGGCGATAAAGCGGCAATGAGGTTATGATTCGTAAATACCAAAATATTATTGTTCTAGTGTAATGTTGGTGTGTTCAGTGTGTTCTGTTTGTTTCCAATCAATCGGTAATCATGTGGTTAGATTAGTTAAGTGCATCGATGATCTGTATATTGTTATTATCCTGGAGGTTTTTTTCCTGGGTACATTTACGAAAGCTGTGGCATTTAGGAACTATGTCTCTATATTGTATTCCTTGTTTGTTACAATTAATTGTATGCATAATTTGTACAAAGAAAATTGTCTCTATATTGTACAATTGTATTTATGTTGTGGTTTTGGGGTCTGAGTGCTGCATCCAGGGTATTGGGTTTGTTGAGGCTGCTGAGTTCGTCTATGTATTGGATTTATGTGGTTGACTGAGAGTTCAGTTCCACAAGAATTGCACCTTGGTTTTTCTTCCTTCGCACATGTGGTACCGTGTGTAAGTCGAGTATGACTGATGCGGAAACTGTTGATAAATTACTTTATCTGGTCTGCAGTTCAGGGGGAGATTATGGCAATCGAAGATAGTCATATTATTATTAATTTTATTGTTATTATTTGAAACGATTGTGATTACACACTATACGTCATAATATTACCTACCCTCAGAGCTAGAACAGAATTTTAGGATGCAAAAAACACTTATGATATTATAAATTCGTAAACAAAATGAATGCCAATGAAAATGAAATCATTTCGTGTCCGATGATTTGAATCGTACGATTATTACGTCAATCAAAAATAAAAAAAAGCTTCGCAGGAAGACACTTAGACACATCAGCATTCAGCAGCTCCTGTTTGTATACAGTATTGTATGCGTGCACATACAGCATCGTAATATATTATTACGTCGTACTTATATAGTAGTTATTGGCCGGATGCGATGATAAACGGAGACGACGGCGGCGACGACGAAGACGACGATGACGAAATAAAACGAGTCTGAACTCTCTGCGGGCGGAAAAAATCTCAAATGCCCGACCGGCTGTCGACCGATTCGATACGGGTAAGGACGATCGGAGGAGTGAGGGACCTAAAATGGGAGGGGGATTTATATGTGAGGGGTGGTAGGGAGGCACCGCGCTTACGATACCTACGAATTTACAATCTACACCGTTGCACGTTGTCGTCGATGACACTGACTAGTGAGGCGCGAAGACCGTTGACCACGACACACACATACATAGGTAGCACAAGTCCGCTCTTCTTTTATTACTATTATTGTTGTTTTTATTACGAGGTGTGGTACGTTCGCGGTGGACACGGTTAAACCTATATAATAGATACAGTGTGTATATAAATATACATACACCATACACAATAATACACTTCATTATTATTATTATATATTATACACCCGAATCCCGCGTAATACCTATATATTATATAAAAACGAGATGAAAAATTCAAAGACTCGCCCGATGAAACAGCTTTGTTTGTATTGTGTGCTCATGCACACACGAGCACACGTATAACTATGATATTATAATAATAATTACAGTTTTGTGGGCATTATTGTTGTTGTTGTTTATTACAACAATGTTTTCGTCGTATAGGTCATACGGGAGAAGAATGACGACGACAATATTATTATTACACACTAGGCGCACTATCCATACTACACACTAATATAATGCACCAGCGTTATTACAATGATGATGAATATTGATGATGATGATGATAACAATATAATATTATTATTCTTGGGTACATTAGACACCAGCGGGCAGCGGCAGACAAGTGTGTGGCACCCCACGGGCGGTCGGTCGGAGTCGGTCGGGTCCGGTCGGAGGAGTCCGACTTGCTCGGGCGCTGCAGCACTGCATCCACGGACGATACGTGCCATACGTCCCGGGTGGTAGGTGCTCGATGACCGCCGCAAGAGCAACGTCCTCCGCCGGCGTACCTGGAGTACATGGTCTTTGGTATGCTCACGTCGACCGTATAACGCAAGACGCGTACCTGTAATAATACGAAAGACCATAATCTACAGTAACCGCGGTCGTGTCCGCGACATCGTATGATATTATTAATAAAGCCGGTTTCACAGCAGCTGCTACATCGTGTCGATCAAACAGAATTGTGATTGGACATTACTTTTTTGAAATCATGTAACCTAACCAAGTTGTAACCGAGTACACCAAGAATTGACTACAACCCAACTTTTTAACCAATATGCTTACCAGTAGTAACCATAGTTACTTCGCCCTCTCACGACATGACACATGATGTAGGTGTGAATGAGTCTTAATTTGTACTCGTCGCGGTACCTACCTATACCAATATTATATTCTACGACGTTGAACCAGCTTTCGCTAATCATGCTAACGTTCAACTGTTTAATCGACGTTTAAATATCGACCATAATCGCGGTCCCCGGTGAAGTAGGTATAATAATAGTAGAAGAAATCGAAAATAAAAAAAAACATTGGTGGTTTAGGGCGCGTTTCACTGGCGCGCCGTATCTGTCCGGTAACCACGACGACGACTGGTTAGGCGTGAACGTCGTATCGCGGTGACGCATGCGCGGTGGTCGATGCGTCTGGTAGTAGTTGTGCCCGCGTCTTTGGTAACGCGACGAAGAAATGTGAGCGCCGCCGAGATACCGGGAAATCGTAGTTGCACTGAACTATCGCAGACCGCAGTCCGTCAGGTGTCGTCAGATCGTTCGTGTGTTCCGTCCCGGTCGGTCGTTTTCCCTTTCTTGTTTTATGCGAAGTCTTGTCGATCGTGCGCGCCCGTTTACATAAAAACCCGAGTGACTAATCTCGTAATATTTTGCGAATCGAAATTGTTGTTACGACAATAATATTGTACTGATCGTGGTGTTCTTACGGAATAAAAACCAACAACCACAACAATTTACGTATTGTCTTACACGAACAGGTAAGTGAACGCAACACAAAGAATTTTTGAACCCCTTTCTGACCTCCGTCGACAGTCTTGAGTCGATGGTGGTTTTTGGTTTACACCTGGCGCCGGCGACCCTTTTTCAAATTAGAGCTGATGTTCTATACCCCACTCGGTTCAATGTTTTTTTTTTAAAACCAGAAAATCTAAATCTATAAGTATAATATTTAATACTTTAGCTATTCGAACTTATAGACGATTTTAGTGAGAGGTGACCAATAAAGGTATACTGAATATTACTATATAGTTCATAGGTATTAGACATCTTTTAAAGTGGACATCGAAGATCGAACTACTCCGTCTACAGCTAATGGTGTATTCGGTTTACAACATAATAATTATTAATGACCCTCTGGCCGAGCCTGTAGTTTAATAGTTATGTCCTTACTCACGTCTTAATCGCACCTTTTATCAATATAAAATTCATTGTGTGTGAAAATTCTAATGGGTAATATAAATTAATATTAATCGTTATCCTATCTCTGAATTAAAATATATGATTACCTAAATTATATCTTCGTTCTACTTTTGTTGTTATTATAATATTATTATAAGGTGAAAAATGTATATTTTGCATTTAAAAGTAATATTCGCATAATATATTGTATACAAATATAATAATAATAATATGTATGCATATTTTACATGTGTGAGAGTATTTAAAAGTCATCGTTACTTTTAATTACAATAATATTACGTGTCCGTATGTCGAAACCTCGTTCCGTTGAATCTTATAATAGTTGTGTTTATAACAAGGTTAAACTAAATAGAATCATATTATACAATATTATTTCAAAACCGTAAACAATCGATACGTCACGAAGGAAAAATAATATCTAATTATGCAGGTATAACATATTCGACTTATCTGTCAAAATATATCATATTAAAAACACCTCCCAAACTCAAGTGTGTCAGTAAGTGTGAATTGCTCACGCTGCATAAGCCTCGGGAGAATGCGGGAATCTTCCAAAGAAGAAAATCAGGTTCCTATATATGAAAGATATTTCCATAGACTCTCTAATGGTTGTTCGATGGTTTAGTAGCTACATAATATACTACCTACCTATTCGTTATATTTTGTAATGTTGTTTCGGATATTTTGAAATCGAAAACAGTGGTACCTAATATATTGTGTATAGCTTGATCCCATGTAGTTACAGGTGGAAAAACGTTTCTCTATCGATCTACATTCAACCGCTATAATGTTATATTGCGCATATAATAATTGGTCAAAATGAAGTGAAGTAATTATTATAATTTATAATATTTAACCGCATGAAATCGTTCTTAAAAGTTCTTAAACCAAGGTGTAAAACTCAACGAACAACGGTAATATTATGTGAATAATAATTATTTTAAACACACTGTAGTAGGTACTTACCGCATTGTACATATATATTTATAGCTCTACTACTGAATTGTTTCCGACCACTTTTAATGCCTTATTTAATTTAATTTTTAATTTTTTAATTTACCCGTGTCCAATACTCTATTGACAGGTATTTTTTGCTTAAAACATAACTGTTTTTGTTTCTTCGTACTGAACATTTTTTGCTCGGGTTAAGTCACGTATGTCGTATAGGACAGCTCGAACGTGTTTGAAACACGCACGTTTCCACCGAACCAACCAACAGTATTTCAGAGACATAATTTAACAGCGATAAATATTATGCACATTGGTCAACCTCTAAAATCAAACTGCGAAGTGGTATAAATACTTTATTGTCATTGTCATACCGTCGTGATGCAAACCGGCAATGGCCCGTGATGCGGCACCGACGACGTGAATTATACATGAACTATCTAACATAACTTATTAGTTATTACCACCTAACGGACACAGGCGATTTTAAATTTTTTCTTCGCACCTACCTATATTTTGTATCCTAGGTTATAGTCAGCAAGAATTAAAAATTTCAAAAATATACTTTATACCTACGGAACATGATGAATACAAGATAATATAATGTAGTAAAACATGATACTATAGAAAATGTGTTTGGTGATTTAAGACAAATTATGTAATAGTCAATTTCATTAAACTTTGTAGGTACAATTATTTTATATATATTTAAAGCCATTCCATAACTAAACAAAATTAAGTTATAAAAAATATTATCAGTAAAATATTCACACAATCGTACACAAGATAATTCAATAATAATTGTTTATTTAAAAATATATACATATATATGGTGACGTGAAAATAACCTTAAGTTTACGATTATATTTAAGAGAACAAAAAAAAAAATTTATGTCATGACCGTATCTTATAACAACTGTTTTTTTTATGAGCAATGTATGCATCTAATTTGTTCTTTCACAAAAAGTACATTCACAACATGGCACATTTTTATTTAAAAAAAAACTATTTTATCCTATTTATTTTTACCAACGACTAAATTGATTTCTGTTATTCTTATTAAATGTTTATTATAATGTTTCCAATGATTTTATCATGTTCCAACTTCATATTTAACAGTACTAAGTTACTGGAAGATAATAATTACACATTGTTGCTTTTTAATAAAAATAATCTATATTAAATTTGTTTATTTATTATGTTTGTGTCAATGGGTTTATTTATTGATTGGTGGGTACATTTTCGTATTATGCAAGTATTCATTAAATTATAATAAAATATGGAGCCAAAAGTCCAGAAACCTAAATACGTTGAGATTGTATAGTAATGGGTAAACCGTTTGAATATATAAATATACTTATTACTAGGTATATTTGAATAAGTAAATAATAATTGTAATATTAACAATAACTATTACTCATAAAACTATAAAAGTAATAAATTAAATATGTCTGAATAAACGTGTTTAACTATTTATTACATAGTACATACATTAAGTATACATTGTATTATATCTCTTCTCACAATACAAAAAATGTACTTATATAATATATTATAAGTAAAACAATTAGTATAAAATGCAAATAATAAACATTAAGCACTATAAAGTATGGATTTACAGATCATATAATGGCTACTGCAGGCTCGTATCTATAGATGCACCCGTGGATATAATATTTGTATATTAAAACATTATGTTACCTATTATTACCTTCTAGTATTTTTAATGTTGTATGTAGTATTTTATTAACTAAATATTAAACTTTTAGCGCAGACAAAATACAATTTTTTAATAACAAAATAATTACATATTATATTTGATATTTGATTTTAAACAAATAGGTATTACACCAATTTACATTTAGTTCTATAGTGATATAGAGACTTAATTGTAATTTATAAATTTGATACTCACATAGATAGGTACTCTTAGAATAGTATTCTAACATTTGTTTACTTCTACAATTTTAGTTCGTCGACAAACAAATAAAAATAACGGTACGAAATGACATGCGATGAACTAACATGCAGACGCTTGCTGCAATGAGCTAACCATTGACCGTGCGATATTGTATATTATCCGGTTCACGTTACGGATTCATCTTGACGACGAAGTCAAAACCGGTTGTTGCGAGTTTGCAAATTGAACGTAATTGGATGTCGGTGACAACCCGTTGAAAATAATTTCGATGTATGTAGATATTAGAATAGATAGATGTATAGCCATGTAGGCACATGAAATTAATCGTTTTACTTGCCAAAGACCAGAAACATTGTAAACAAAGAGATTTCTCACATTATTTTTTGTAAGCATTTAATTAATTTAACCATTTACCTATTTTAAAAATCAACCTCAAAAAATATTTCCTTATATTTTAAATACGAATTAATTGAACAAACCGGCATAGATCCGTGACCAATTGCATGGTTCTCGAAACCACTTTTAGAGGTAAAAACTTACCCTGTAAAAATATAATGAACCTGGTAAAATGTTACTTTTGTTTTATAAATTTATAGTCTGCAGTTATGCTATAGGAAGGTAAAAAAGGTACTGAATGACAATATAAACACATTGGAAACCCGATTACAATTTAAGGTGCATGTTGAGTATGTCTGGGGTAAATTTTTACCTCAAGTAAAAAGTCATGGGTTACCCGGGCAATACCATTTTTCTATTTCTTTACATATAAAAATTTAAATTTAAATCTTATTCCAATATTATTGTTTCACATTTCTTGACAGTTATGTTATTTCGATTGTCTCATAGCGGTATATTTTAGTGTTACATTATTTCATATCGTATTGTAATTCACACTCTCAATTAATCGTACACAATCGGAATCGTAATAACAATATTAATAAAAAAAAAATAAGACTATGAAAGACACTTTTTGTAAATTGCGTTTGGCACACCGCTGAGTGGCGGTTAGTGACTTTAACGCGAGGCAACGCATGAGCCGCGAGTGAATATATATTATTATTATATTATATCTTTATTTCGTAAGTGTAGTCAGTCTATCTTCACTCACATTTTTCAGTCTTTGATTTTGTACTATATTGGAAGTCATGTAGAAAATGATATAGCGTGCTGAGGAATAGTGTATAATAGGGCCTCTGGGCGCGGTCGGTTTCTTGTTGGCTAATGATACGTACACACATAATATTATTATTATTATTATTTATTATATACACGGCATGTACTATAAGTGTACGTTCGTGTGGATTTTCGTAGGTTCTACTCTGTAGTACGTATGCATCTCAATGGTCAGTGTAATGGTGTGCGTTATTGCGAAAAATCTTTCTGGTTTGGTGTCCCAGAAAAATAATATCATCATATACCTATATGTGACGACATATGGCCACATTCCTGAGCATTCTGTGAGCAAGAAGATATTCATCTGACATGTATGAACTGCAAATATAGATATGTGAACGCCCATGTGGTGTAGGTATAGCACATATGTGGTCAATCATATAAGTGACCAGGAAACGATTTGACCATCATTGTCGGCTTTGCAGCTGTGTTACGAAATAATAATAAAAAAGAAAATAGAAAGATGCTTCAAGGCATTTTTAGGCAATACACGTGCGTTATGTAGCTGCATGTGTACCTATATATGCACATTGCACAGTGAGGCGATGAAAGATAATTGTTATATAAAACATGGTATTCATCTTCTCATTGTAGGTACTTGTTGTTAGTATTATACATACATAATGTATAGTTAAAATTCCTATATTGCTTGAAAGACGTCGACGTTTTTGTCATAAAAAAATGGATCGACTAATTATTTGACACTGCTGTGAGATGACAGATAAAAGAAAACAGCTAGCGTGTAATTTTAATTATTATAATATTATGGCTAGGTTAGTGCACTTACTCCTGTAAGGTTGACAACCCTTTTTCCATCGGGTTTGTTACTATATACTCATTATTATACGCTAAATAAACACATTAATTTATAATAATATGAAATAGAGGTGAATGTCATTTAAATTCATATCTTGATGCGGGTGTTTGTTAAACAATTATGATTTATTTTAGACGTATACTTATAATGAAATAAATGAATACCGTCTTTGACTGCAAATCATTGTTACGCCTCGCCTGTTTATAATAAATACGCCTGCATAAAACGTATGCTAAATATGTAGTATGAATTCGTACATTTTTCTAAACCAAAAAACAGAGTAAGGACCAGAGTAATGTGTAAGATTATTTACAGATTAAAAAGTCATAAAAAATAACCTATTTAATACTATATATTTTATTGAAAACATTGAATTTATTAGATCGAATATTATCCTTCTTAAATCTTAATACTGGTTAGTGATAAATATTCTTTGAGTATAATAATATAATGTTTACTACGAAAATTAATCGTTCGTAAAATATAACTTGGTTGATGTCCTTGGGTGATGGCTGATAGAAAATAACGATTAGAAAATGTATGTACATGCCTATCTTAAGAAAACTATTTCTTCATGTTGTTAAGTAAGTAAGATAAGTTGAATACTACTTCCAATGTTACACTCGTAATAAGACATTAATTTGGTAATTTTCGAAAATGTTAAGTGCGTTACAACTGCAGGTAATCCACAAAGTAATATTTGGAACTTTTCAAACTTTCACCGTTTATTAAAGTATTAGCTTCTATTATAGGTTTATACAATTATCGTATCAGATTAAAAATCAACACATTATAAAAAATGATATATGTGTATTCCATACCAGTAAAATCAGTAAATTTTTCGAATTATATAAGCATTAAGTATAGGTACCTAATTAAACATTAACGCAGACATTTATAGTATTTTAATCTAATACGTTATTAAGATACATATTATGTTTTGTTGGCAATATGAGCTGTGTGCCTACACTTAATCGAATGTAGTTAGGTACATAATTGTACACTTAGCTTAAAATTACTATACTTTAGAGCCCTTGAAGGGAATTTATCAATTTTATTAATTTATTTTATAACAAAATAAATCTAAGTCATTCAATATTTAATTTTATATGTCCATACTAATTCTAATTTTTGGTCTTCAATTGAAAATCAGCTGTAAACAAATATTTAACGTTTTACTACATGTTTCTATCCTTAGATTGCGTAACATAAAGCCATATAATCCGATTGGATAATACATTTGAAAAACTCTGGTCAATTGAATATTGTCAATGTTTACGTTGTCGACAGAATTAGTTTCAGTAAGCTGTTAGATAATTATAATATTATACAGTCACTAATAATAATAATAAACACAAATAGAATGATTTTGTATTGTTTGTTTTCATACATCGATCGTTGAATAATCTTTATTCAGTTGAATTCATCCAACAGACTAAAAACGATTTAAAACCTAAAATAATTTTCAAAGTGGAAACTCTTTATTTATAATTTTAAAGTAATAATGATATATGGGTATAATTATTATCCGGAATGTTTGTATGACGTACATTATATTTGTTAAAATATCTTGGGATTTAAATAAATAAATAATAGATAAGTTGATTATTTATGATTGGTGCAGTGCAAAAGGTCTTATATAATAACTAATCGAATATATGTAATTTGTCTTAAACAATATATTGATTAACATTATAACTAACCACTTAGAATAAAACTAATACGTACTGTGCATGGATTTAAAGTAGATTTATTATACTGTAGATATTCGTCAAATTATTTTTTACAAATCAAAATTATACATTGTGCAACCTATACATATTTCGAACGATATAATGAATTTGTGGTAAAAAGTTTGGCTTAATATTTTTATCGATGTTTAATGTTTATTGTTTATTTTTCATTACTTCAGTAGGAACTATTGAATATTGACTATTGTTATGATCAATAAGGACCGAAATCAATTGATGTAGTTGAAATTTTCCATGATTTTTGTATTCGTGTATTTTTGTATTTTTTGATTGTTTATTGTTTGATTTATATGGTCTACAAACCTATAATATCTTTTAAGGATTTACTCTACATCATTTTACTAAAAGTTAAAAACTATTTGTTATTTATATTTAGGTAGATTTTTACTTCATAATACATGTAATACAGTTGTGGTAAAATGTTTTTGTCCAGGGGGGCCTGATTTTTAAAAATTCACTATTTGATTATTAAAAATATAATTTATAATTATCAGGTCTTAATCATTGAAAAAAAAATCATGGAGTGGGATCTATCCCGCTTATTCCCCCCTCCGTTGACCACTATTGATGTAATATCAACCTTAAGTTATATATTATATAACTAATAAGTATTCACAGTACCTTACACACATAAGGGTTGCGCGTAAATAAAAACAAAAATAAAAATAACTACCTAGCTTCTATAGGTACTTAAAATTATTTTCATTTAATTTAAGTATTAACATTTATCTATATATATATATATATTTATAATTTTTATTATATTTTCTAGGTCGTACGAAATGGGCTTGAGAATAGCTTAAGTACGTCACTGCGTTCGTCATGAACTCAAATTCGAGGGAATTAATATTGGCCGTGGTCGCTTGTTTGGTGTGCAGTACCACGAGCCATGTAGCCCTCACGTTTCCTCCGGCTCGAACATATGACCTTGACTTCCTGGATACTAGCAGAACGCCCGGCCCTTGTGGTATGCCTAAAGGTAAGGCTTTTATTTTATTTTACTAAAAAATACCTTTGGAAGCAGTTGGAAGAAATAAACATATTATATTGTAATAAATATAGTATGGATTACTTACATACAAATAGACATACCGTTAAACAGTACGAGGGTCGAGGATGTATATAAAAGTTGATAGATAAGTTTTTTGAGTAAAGTGTGCGGAGATAGAGTTTTGGTGTTGGCAAGTGATACTGGAAGTTCAGAGTTTGACGTATTGACGTTTTTAAACATATTATTACTATTAATACTTACCACCTGTAAGAGTGTCTTCTTGGCAATTACAATAATGCAGTAATTAATATCAGTCAGCAAAGTTGTATGCATGCCCAGTATAGATTTGTTGTTTTCTCTGTTGATCTGTTTGCGTTTATATAGCTTATTCGATACACGTCCATGTCTGTATTATAATATATTATATGCCATGTGTGTTACAAACAATAGACAGTACCAACCATTGTGCCGTTAAGTATTATTTTCATCCAAGTTTTTCATAAAATATCTCTACGAGTAATTGTTTGAAAATCCATCATAACACTACAACAAAGTGGCCTACCGATGCAAAATAACTAATTTTATTTCATAACAACGTTGTGTATACAATAGGTCTATAGTGTTCTAGACGTAGGCAGATGAGGTTTTGATATCCCGAGGGAGCAATCGATCGGACGGGGCTGCCGAAGGACACGCATATTTGTGAGCTTTAATAATGGTAGGTATATATTAATAATAATACAATTGTATTAATCAATTCAAATATTATATATAGTGTACGCGCGTGTGTGTATTAATAAATAATTATAATAGATACGTATTACGTGAGCTGCCAGCTCTACGAGTGCATAGATTGAGAATAATATAAACTCATGCCGTATATATATAACCTGCAGGGTATGCCGTGGACGCAATATTTATTTTATGCCATTTACTGTGATTAATATCCTGCAGTTGTGTTTGTATGAGATTTAATATACATATAGGTGTATACATATTTTTTATTTGATTCCAATTCATCGAAAGTATTATAGCTATATCAATTAATTTTTTTTATCGACCTTCATAACTAAAATCAAAACTTTATTTTCACTAATTTATTGGGCTTGTCTTAAAAACTAAGTATAATTACTTTTCTTTTACTTCATCCCATTTTTGTTGTGTGCCAAAGTAATGAAAATTTGTTATGATATGAATGTCATAAACTCATAAATGCTGCAATATGCATCCATCATTTTTAGATTTTGAATTCAAAATATTTGTATGGATGTTAAGACCATATTGTACCTACATACTTGCTGATCGTAAAATGAAAGCAATTAACATTTTACATAAGAGCTTAAAATCATCCATGACCAAGCAAAATACTGAGAAAAAAGGTTTGTTTAATGTACATTGTACATAATAATATAAGATGATAAGAGTTTTATTTCAATCTATAAAATGTATCTATCAAAGTACATACAATTATTTATTTGTTCAGTTATACAGTGTACTTAAGAAAAAAAACACTAAATTAATGTATGGGCCAAGGATTTTTAATCTGATGACACGATAAGAAATGTAGTCACTATATAATAATATCATATAATATAATAGTCGCAGTAATTCCGATTGTGTAATGTTCGTAACATATAAAATATATTCTCAGTATGTATTGATCCACGTAAGACGTAACACTTTTTTAATGTAGGTACACATCATTATGCACGTATGATGGTTGAATTAATATTATTAGTACGTACGTATATAATATTATGTTTTTTATTTATTACCGACGTAGAATATTCTTGGGTTATTGAACGGAGTATCGGACGCGTGTGTTTTAGATATTTTGAAATTTATATCTAAAAATGATTATTATGATTTTGTAAACACGAAAAAAACAAGTGTGATTCGTTCCTATACAATCGGTGTTGGTATACCACAAAAAATATTATGTTGCAATAGAAAAAGGTGGAAAAAAATATAACACATAGGCATCGGTATAATAGTGATTTAACTACAGGCGTTACACAATAGAACGACATTGGTCGAATGCAGCCCACCTGTAGGTACCTAAAAAAAAATAATATTCAACACCTATTGGTGTATAAGCTGCTGCTGCTGCTGTATTCTATAATACACTGTACAGTATAATATACACCTATAATTTGTTTAGAAGACATACCGAAACGTAGTAGCTTGTTGTTCACCGCTGTTGCGGCGTGGTGTTGTTGGAATCCCGTCTGGCCACTTCTCCACCTCGACGGTTGTATAATTTAATAAATAATAATATATGAATGAGCATAGATACTTGGTTTATTTGAAACACACGAAGAAGTCGGTCTTGCACGGACGGGCGTAATAGATTTTTTTTCGTTTACAAAACTTGAGATTTATTAGATTTTTTTTTCTCAAGAAATTAAATTATTTTAATTATTACGAAATATTTATTACCTACAGCAGTGTAATAAATTATTGATTTATCGACTTATCACTTATCGAAGAAAAAAACATACCATCCATACATATATTACGAGATGAAATCGAAAGTTTGTCTACCTTATTATAGTCCATGTCAATAGAAAGTTGTGTGTTTATTTATTTTTTTATTCAAGGATATTTGAACAATTAACCTCGAATAAATATTCGTTATACTTCCATCTACTCCCTCGTATTTAATTTAGTGTATTTCCGTGTTAACATTTGACTTTTTTTGTGTTGAACGTACTTCGATAATACAAACTATGTATATTTTTTAATACTGGTAATATTTTTAAGTTTATTTACATTATTTTTTATTTTAATAGATACATAGATAATATGGAGACTAGGTCACAGCGGGTTCCGATAAAAATAGTTGATCGATTATTTTTACTCTATTTATTAATGTACTGTTTACATCAAATTGATCGATAATATTTATGTATGATGCAAATTAGAAGGCTGGTCGAATGCCAGAAAAATCATTTTATTTTTAAACGATAACAACCTTGAATAGAAGAATGCGAAGAACGTATTGAAATTGAAAGTAAAACAATCTAGGGAGGACCCCGCCCGTTTGTTAACTGCCTGAATTATTATTTTGGACCGCGTATATATACGAGTATAACTTGACCTGCTGCGGTATGATTGTACTTTGTAAAATATACTACTCCGTTTCGGAGAAGTAATCTATACCTAGTGTTTTCCTTTAAGTATAATAATAATTGTTCTATTATTCAAATCGTTTTCTATGACCTATCCATGACCTGAAGACGTGTATGCAAAAAACCACAATCAATAACGGGTTGAAAAGTTTTCCCATAAGTGTTTAGTCGTGAGAAGCGAAAGGAGCATCATGCGTCTGTATAGTGAATAGATTCAAGAGGCTACCACAAGTAATGCTTCAGTCGGAAACATTTTTCCAATACAATATTCGTTCTTTTATTAAAACACACTGAGAACGAAGTATGTTTTTTAGTGAAAACAATAAAACATATTGTAGTAGGTATTATATATTTAGAAACTTTTTCATTTCCTACTTCAAATTGGAGTAACTAACATCTATTTTTTTACTCTTTCATTTATTTTAAAATTATTTTCTATATTTATTTTATACGCAGGCATGTAAGTATGTAACTGTATGTATAATATGGTATTATACTCATTACACATGTAGCAATGTAGCATGTAGGTATGACTTATTTCTCTATGATCAAAATTCGCATTATCAAGAGTAATAAAAAGAATAATACATTTTTTACATCTAGAATTTTCGTAATAAATCTAAATAGTACGTTGTAATGTTGTATGTAATTGCTTTAATAATTGCTATCAATTAATTGTCAAAACACTAAAAACTTTACCTATGTACGTTCTAATAGTCTTTTCATTTTAATTAACATCCATGCACAGCAAACTAAAAATATGAAAGTTTATGACCACTTTCAGTCATATGGTTCTAAATTTTTCAGACCGAATCGCCATACGTTATAATACAAGTATGTTATGTTTTAAAATTATCATAAAATATGTGGTATTGATGTTCTAAACTAAACCGTTCAGTAACAGCCACGTATATAATATGCAAGATTTAAGAATCACCTTTCATGATATTATACACTGCATGGCTGCATGTCTGCATACTATATGTTTATTTCGATGTTAGCTTAATATAATATATAACTGTATGAGGTATTCTAAATCATGAAGTTTATCATTCAAGAATCAAGCTCATTGGTTTGCCAGATAATTTGTACTTATAAAACCACATTTAGGTACCTTGGTAGGTAGCTTAACTACGCGAGAAACAACTTATATGAAGTTGTTGCGTATATACTAAATACCTAGGTAGTAGGTATCCAATCTATCGTATAATTCTATATTATACTTGTACTTCTCTACTCATACACGATACAAACAACTAAACGCGATATTCGTGAAAGCACAAACGCTATTTTATGTATTTAAATTGCAATCGACTGGTGTGGATCAAAATATATATTTCCGTTTCGGAGTCACGTCCACGTTGCATAACGTTAATTATGATAATTTCATTCGGTAAACGTATCCGTTAATAAGCACGTTCATCTTTCAGGATATAAAGGAAGGTATTTACGTACGTGTGTGCGGCTTACATACGCTTTCGTTTTGGTCGTCCACAAACCAGGACTAAAATTTTGTCAATTTGGGTGTGTGTAATAATTATTATAATATATGGTGAACGATAACACATATAGGTACCTACCTGTCGCGTAACATTTGAAATCTTGTTTAACAATAATTTCTAGATTAATAACATTAGGTATAGGTACACATATGCTTCGGCGAGGAGTGTATTTATTTTATTTGTTTCACTTATCCTCGCGTGTTTCAGTTACACTTTCTCGTCACCAAATACCAGTTTTGGTTAGACGATATACGCACTACCGGAGAAATTTTCATAGGATACCCTGAGCGATAGTGTATGTGTGTGTGTGTGTGTGTGTGTGTGTGTGTGTGCGTGTGTAATTTTAGGTTCTGTC